TAAAGGCTGAAAATCATCAAAAACCCACCTGTAACAATACCTGAAATTTGGCCCTTGATTTTGTAGACAGGTTTTTGAAATCTTCAAACATCAATAACTTTTGCAGTTCTGAATCAAATAACTCGATTTTTGGTTCATTGGAAAGGTGAGTCTTTGCTCTACATTTTTCATTGAGACATCACATCTGTAGCCCGTCTGAAGAAGGTCCTACAGAGCTATTCATGCAGAACTGTTTGGACATATGTAGAGCGTTCAAATGACTAGATAGCACCTTGCTGACATTATGAAGTGTAAAGGAGAATGGTTCAGCTTTTGAATGAACCAAAAATCGAGTTATTTGGAGCAGAATTGCAAAAGTTATTGAAGTTTTTAGACCACAAAATATTGTCTTTATAATCATGACCCAAATTTCAGGTATTGTTACAGGTGGGTTTTTGATGATTTTCAGCCTTTATTGTTAGTACATTAACCAATATCTGCGTGTAAAATACAAAAAAATACTCATCATGACGCCCCAACATCTAGGAACAAGGTGCATATTTTTTCAGATTTTTAGCTCTCTTCCTGTTGCCTCAGGACTTTTCTATGTCAGTAGTTTTCTTTACCGCCCGGTAAAGATTACATTTGGTGTAGTGAAAGAGCGTGATCAATCAGCTGGACGACGAGACGCCAAATGCACCTATTGCAACCAGGTTATGAATGGTAAACCTCATCTATTACAGAAGCATATCATCAATCTCTGCCGATCAATTCCTGGTGACCAGAAATCAGCATACATAAACACTGTTCAGCCACAATCGTCTGCTGATTCCTCCAACTCAACTAATGAAGATTCCACCTCAACTTCAGCTATTGACAAACCCAAGCTAATTCACAACTTTACTGATGCGTCACTCCATCATTTTGTCAAAAGAACTCAAGACAAAATGGATCAAATCAATCAACATCTCTGTCTCGCCTTGATAACTGGCCGCATACCTTTCTCTGTGCTTGAAAACAAGCATTTCATTCGTTTTCAAGAAAGGCTATCAGTTTCACCAATCACAACTGCTACTAGATATGTGATGACAAACCGTATTTTACCAATTGTGCATGCTCGCACTGTCAAAGAAATGCGAGATGATCTTTCCCGCCAGTCGGGTCTAACAATCTCCCTTGATGGATGGTCCGAATATCTCGAAACAGTGTTTATGCTGTCTTGGCTCTACGCGGCACAAAAGTCAAACACTTTATCGATACACTCGACCTTCACCAAATCCGACACACTTCCGAGAACATTTCTTCGAGTCTTGATAGTACACTCAGCTTGTCAGGAATAAAGTGGGACCAGATAGTTGCTGTTGTGACTGATAATCCTACACCCATGGTGAAACTTCGAGTGAGTTCTGTTCATATCTCGTTCTTGGTGCTTCCATGATGTTCTTGTCTGATATGATGCTTATCATGTAGAGAATCATCCGTGAAGCACATCCTCATGTTATTGGCATTCCTTGTTGTTTGCATTTTTTCAATCTGATTGCCAAAGACTTTCTCAACCACCAAGACATGAAAAAAGTGGTCTCGAATAACAAGGAGTTAGTTAGGTACTTCACATCTTCACATCACTGGACCGAGCATCTTGAATCATGGCGAAAAAAGGAAGGTATTACTCACGGTATACAGAGCTCATGTGACAGTCGGTGGTACACCTATAGCAAAGTCTGTCTTTCTGTCGACACACATGAATTAGGATTTCTCAAATGCGCCGATATGTCTGATGATCCAACATTGGACACTCCAACAATCCCAAAAGAAACAGCTTTGATTGTTCGAACTCGCGACCATTTCACTGCAAACAAAGCACTTGTTTTGTTCCTCAAGCCGGTTGTTGATGCCCTTGCTCGCTTAGAATCAACCTCTACGACCCTTGGTGACATCTGGAAAGAGTTGATTAATGTTTACATCCAAATTTCAAGTCTCGATCTTTCTACCTGGCCGGGTTATGTCAATTACAAGACTTACTGTCTTGGTGTTTTGAATTCAAGAGCTCGTGCCTACTACGACGAACCGATCTTCATCCTTGCTTTATTCCTTACTCCAAGCTGTCGCCATCTGTCTGTATCACGTGCCTATCCGATCAAATCGATCCAAAAGATGATCGTTAACCTCGCTTTTTTCTGGGGATATTCGCAAGCCGATGCCATTACGATTGCACAACAGGCCCATCTTTATCTCAATGGTGAAGGTCATTTTGGTACATCAAAGAAATGTATGTCCTTTTTTTAAACCATCCAGGCGACTTTGGCTACTAACTCTTTGATTCATGTATACATAGTTTTGCTTGCAATCGATTACTGGCTTGATGTGCTTACAACCCTACAGACGAGTCTACTTAAACATCTTGCTATCAAACTACTCGAGATCATAGCCCATGCTGCGGGTGTTGAAAGCCTATTTTCAGCCATGTCAGCTACAAAGACAAAACAGCGAGCTGCAATGACCCTCACAAATCTCAAGATGATATCACAAGTTCAGCTTTCCAAAACAAACAAGAACCCAACAAAGAAATCCAAATCGGTCAGCAATCATACCGACAAAGAAATTGAAGTTATCGAAGACCCACGAGTAGAACCATCAGAGCTCTTTTCTGGCCCAGATGATCTTGAAGAGTTTGAACAAGGAGTGGCCCGATTGCAAGAGGAACCGATGCTTGTTGACCCCGCTTTAGAGGCCGATTCTTATGATGGTTTTATTAGATCTCTCTTTGATCTGACTTTATTTGAGGTTCAATCTTTTCATCATGTTGAGTCTGCAGGTGAAAGTACACCTGCTGTTGGCGCTCCTGGAGCCTGGAACCCCGATGAAGTCATATTTGACTGATCTTATTGTTTTTATTACGTGTGCTATGCTGAAATACAATTTTTCGACTGGTCTCTTTTCGTTTTTTGACTGTTTTTTAACTTTTCGCACTGTGAGAGGACGCGCCTAACGCGCCAGTGGCGCCCAGACGCGCCTATTTTTCCGACAAACGCGCCAGGGCGCGCCTTTTTTTTTAGAGCCGCGCCCCCATCCTGACATCGGGGCATTGGGTGTGAGCGTGATATGTATGTATAGAAAACTGTAGTGAAAAGTTGTTGAAATTGTGATTTTCAATTCTCTTGGATACAATTCTGATGAAGGAGGAAAGAGAGACAAAAGATTTCTCCGACCTGGACAAGTGGGAAGATGGTTGAGGCTTCCCATTTCACATATTCCACTTTGTTAACACCCCGTGTCAACCTCGAAGATTTTTTACAGTGATGTTCCTTCTTTTATTAATTCAATCTTCAGCAGAGAAACTCTTTCTTACAACTAATG